TAGTTGTAAAACCTGATTACCATTTTTATAAATTTATTTTAAAATATATAACATGAAGTAATTATTTTAATTATAATTTTATAATAAAATTTAAAATTTTATAAAAAATATTAGACTTTCATTTTATAATATAAAAACAAAAATTTTTTATTACTAAAATAATTAAATATAATAATTTAGCTAACTCATGGTTTATTTTTTAATAACTTAAATTATATTAAATATTTAGCCGAATATAAATTATATTTAATTCTCATTTATTTAAATATCACTTGCTACATTTGAATTTATAAATTAATTTTCTTTTAAAGGTTCTAGTTAGATTTACAAAATAATTTATTCAATTCTGGTAAAAAGTTATATATTGTATTATATTTTATATAATATTAAGGTCAAATTATTAAAATAATTAAGACTTATTAACTTTACAATAATCAAAATCTATATTAGGGATTATGGTCAAACCAAAGCATCAAGTTTGGAAACATTTTCAAGAAGTACGCAATAGTTACAGCGGTATGCAGGTTTTGTACAATGTCCTATATTACCCACATATGGTCAATGATTTAATAAGTAGCTGTACTATGTTCCCTGTCATAATTAAGGAAAAATTTTATTTTTTTATTCAAATTCCAAAATATCAACCTAACAAAAAATCACACAAATGTAGTTTGTAATACTTCTAGCTCAGATGAAGAATAGGGTGAAAGAGAATAATTAAATTGGCAACATTTTGTCTTCTGATCAATCTACAAGCAAGGCGATTAAATGTAAATCTCAATCTTGTATAATCAGTTTCATAGATAGAATGAATCTCAAAGAAAAATGGGCTCGATCAATTGTTTGCAAAGGCTTTATATGCGAGTTTATCTATCCACATCACTGAAAATCCACACATCCAAGAATTTTTAAAAAATTCGTCCTATTTACAATTAACCCTTGAAGGCAGTTGGCTAGATATCTTTTAAACAAAGCGTAAGGGGATATGGAGCCGAGAGTTGCAAATAAAATAGATAAAGCTCCTATCAATTGTGTCAGATGGCTGGAGCAACATTAGAAACTAGAGCATTATTAATTTTATTTTTAAATACCGAGAAAAATCGCTTTATGGCAGATTATATTACCCATGAATTTAATAATTCTTGAACTGAATATGATAAAAGTATATTTTTTTGTTACTTATAATACCGTCAATATGAAAGCATTCTGAAGGATTCTAAAGTCTGAATCTATTTATAATCATATACAATGTTATGGTTGTGCCATATATAATGCAGTTATTATTCCACTATTTTGAACGATTGAACGCCTTCTTCCATATAAATTGTTAAATTTTACAAGAATAAATACATACCAGCTGGAGTATTTTCTCGTAATAAGAATCAACATGCTATACCATCTAAATTAAATACAATTGACCAAAAAATATGGGCATCATCAAGAAAATATATAAAGCAAATGCAAATATGGAAGAAAGCTCTGAAAGCATCAGTTGTTGAAGAAGCTGTATGTGATATTTTTCCTATAGAAATTACCAATAAAATATTGAATGAAGATATATTTTGGACAAAAATTGTAAAACTTTTAGCTATACACTTTATTGTAGAAAGTGCGGGAGGCCCATGTAAAAAACGAGATGCCTAATTTAGAAAAACACATAATACAATCATGCCATGATTCTATATTTTCTCCATCTGAAGAAAAAAAATTAAATATATGTTTGAAAATAGAAAAAAAGATCCAAATACATATGCTCACAATGCTGCTTATTTATTGGGCCCCAATATCAAGAGGAGCATCTTACTAGTACTTATTTTGATAAAGCATGTGATATAGTGCAATAATTAAAAGTAGCATATTTAATAGCCAAAATATGAAGAATTAAAAGCAGCATATTTGATAGCCAAAATATGAAAGTGGTAACTTCCAAAAGAAACAATTAGATTTTGGCTTCGAGTTGGTGAATGCCCTTTGCAAACCTTACCCATTAAGAGAAGTGGCGTCTATTTTAGTAAAATTTTTTAGTTCGACTTTTTATTCAGAAAGAAATTGATCGATTTGGGGCAATATTCATGCACAAAAAACAGAAATCGATTGAAGACTTCAGCAACATGAAAACTGGTAAGAGTATATCATAATTTAAAATTGATTAAAAATTAAGGAAATAATAATATTGAATATGAATTAGAACACCACTCTGCCACTGAGGGCGATTAAATGAATTAAAAAAATATTATGAAATTTAATATATAGATTTATTATAATATTATATATAATATTAAATAAAGTTAATATTGGCGTGAAAAATTTATTTGAATTTAAGCATATTTAACCTGTAAAATATCGGCCATTTGATGGAATCGTATTTGACCTATCAAATGAAAAACCCTATTGTTAATAATTGATTTTCAAAACTTTGATCAGATAAACAGGAACGGTTAGTGTTCAACCTAGCTTTCGCTGTATTAAACACACGTTCAACTGAAATATGGGAGGGTTGTATTATATTTAATAAATAAAAATTTATTTGGAATAATTTATTAAAAATATTTAAAGAAAAAAAAATTATTAGAGTATCTTTATTCAGATCCTCGTCAAATTTTTCTTCATCTTTATCAGAATTTAATCGGAATTCATATTTTCACCTTCATATGTTTTTTAGATTTGAGCTACTGAACATCGAGATGAAAAAATTTGGATTAGGGCACAATCCACACTTACAAAGTATAGATTTAGTGCTCTTAAATTTCTTTATTGGTTTAAAAAATGTTTAACACTGGAGCCCGGGCAGCGTCAAATCATCTTCATCTGAAGAAATAAATATTATTGTCATATATTCTTTATAAAATAAATGATAATATTAAAAATATAAATTAACATACCTTGATAGAATCAATATAAATTAGATTAGCAATCTTTACTGAATATAGTTCAACAACAAAAAGGTAATAAATATAATAAAAAGGAAGAACTTTTGTAGTTGGTCTATATTAAAAACTCGACCTAAATTATTTATAAAATTTTAATATTTTTTTAGATCTTTTTTTAGGTAAAGAGTATCATTTTGCGTTACCGTTTCTCGAAGAAACGCTTACTGAAACAAGTAACGAATTGCGTTCTTTTCCTCAAAAAAGGTAACGCTGTTATTTCCATCTACGCTACTTTACATCACTATAAAATAGAGATTGATGGATAATAATAACTTTAAGAAATTAATTAGTATATATTGTAATGTAATATAGTTAGAGCAAGAACTGTGTGCCGATGAAACCTTAGCCGGCCTTAGCAAATGCGGCATGAATCTGCACAACAACATAATTTTTTTATATTTTTACATGAAATTATTAATTTTATAAATGCTAATTAATTTTTCTTAAGATAAATTATTAAGTAAAAATAAAATAAAATATAGATTAGTAATACTATATTTTATTATTTGTTGAAAACTAATTATAAATTAGAATTCAATTTTATAATTTTATGAATATCCTGTATGAAGAAAAATATACATTAGTAATAAACTATATTTTATTATCTGTGGAGAAAACTAATTATAAATTCTAATTCAATCATAATTTTATAATTATAAAATATGAAAATAAAATATAATTCGTAATACTATTATTATTTGTTCAAATACTAATTATAAATTCGAATTCAATTTTGTAATTTTATAATTATCACGTATGAAAACAATTTTATTCACATTTAGGGGACATGAGTAGGATTGTAAAAAGACCTGTTACGAGCTGATGAATTTTAAAAATAAACTAAAATATTTTAACCATAAAAATTTTACTTAAGTCTCGAGATTTCGCTAATAGATATCCAAACCTTTGTGCCATATATGAGACAAATATTCAGGCTTGTGTAATATATTTCTGAAATGTTGAGTTGGCCATTAAAAATGGGCTCAAAATAAGCCGTTTAACAACTCTAGATGTAAATATATTCTCCCTAAATTCAAAGTCAACTTAGGGATAGAAAAAACCATTTCACTCGGTGTGATAGTTGCTGAAACATTTCTTTGGCTAGAATAGTAAGATGTAAAAGCTCTATCGTTTTCTTTTCCAAAAATTTAGAACATTTAAATCCTATGAATAATGTTTCTGTGATAAGAATATAGCAATTTTTTTTGTTACAATACAGTTATAGTAGAATAATATATTAAGATTGTCATTGAATGTTTACTTGGAAATTCTGTTATCTAACTTGTATATAGTATGTTATTCGCTTGGCTTCCATACTCCATATTTTCTAATTGATTATCATCATCCTCTAGTAGTTTAAGATGTTTTATAATAAATTCCATCTGTTCAGCTATATATTTTATACAATGCTTAATTTTTGAAATTAATAAATTACTTCACATCATATATTGACCTAATTATTTTTAATAAATTTGCAACAACATAATTGCAATGCAATAATTAGACATTTTAAATTAAATATTGATTTTAAAAAAGATTAAATATTTATTAAAAAGAAAGATAAAATTTTTCATTCTCTTTTATTTATTAAAAAAAATACACATTTTAATATTTGTTTCCCCAACACTTATTTATAAACGAAAAATTTTACAATTGATTTCCTTTTTATTTATTAAATAAAATATGCCGTTTTATATTTGCTTCTTGCAGTTATATTTTTTTAACGTAAGTAATAAAATAATAACATAGTAAAAATAGTGTAAGTTTTTTTTTAATAATAAAAATAATATTCAATTTTTTTTAACATAGCATAAAGAATTATATCAACTTTATTTATTTTTTAAGAAAAATTACAAGAGAAGTAAGGCTTACCTTGCTATAAACGCTAAGTCACTGATATAAATTGTTTAGCCTTAATTTTAAAGAATGGTTGATATATCCTTTGACAAAATAAGATAAAAAATAGCAAATAAATAATAAAATTATTAAAATTAAGAACTACGAAATGTAACTTATTGGGTCAGGTCAGATGGAAAATTTTAAATTTTATCAAAATATTCTGATCAATGTAACTAACTTATCTATTTGATTATATAAAAATGATCGTATGATACCCACTTTTTTAAAAGGAATTTTATTAATTTTAAAAGTAAAGTAAATTGCATTAACTTTAAACATTTACTTACAATTAAATATGAAAAGTAATATATATTTTTTTTATAAATTTTAATATAAACTTACTTAAAATAAGTGAATGTATTTAAGGTTTATTGAATTTGCTAAGATATTTATTAATTCATAAATATATCGTTAAATTAACTTATTAATTAAATTAATATTTGAGTAATTAAAATTGTATCCAAAATTGTATCCCATCTTTAGTTAATTTCAAAAATTATAATGGTTATCATTTACCAAATACATGAGCTAATTGGTCATTTTAATTATTAATTATTAGTTTTTTATATATAAAAAATTTACCATAATTTTGATTTTTTAAATAAATTAACTTAATTTTAGTACAATTTTGAGTATCCATAATATCTTACTTTATCTTATTAATTTACATAATAAATTAATTAAATTTATAATTACATTCATGACTTAATAATAATTATTCTAATATCTTTAATCAAATTATAATATTTTCAGAACTTGAAAGACTGCCTAAATGAAATAGAAATTCTCCAAAACTATCAAAATTCTTATGAATCATTGAAAAATTTTATGCAAATTTGTCATACTTCTTTACATCAAGAAACAATGATTCCTATAAACAAAATAGCCTTCATACCTGGACAGTTATATAAAACAAATGAGGTTTTGGTTTTATTAGGCGATGATTGGTTCAGTAAGATATCAAATACCCAAGCATTGACAATCATAAATAAACGTCTCAGAAGTAAGTTATCTTAATTTATTTATTAGATAATTGATTTAAAAAGACTTATAGTCAGGGTTTAGAAAACATCACTAAATGAAAAAATAAAGGAGAAAAAAAAATTCTGTTTTTGTCAAAAATAAAAAAATATGTCAAAAATTAAAATTATTTTTTTATGATATTTTTAAGATTATTCATATTTAAAAAATGAAAAAATTTTGAGTGTTATTTTTGATTCAAGAATTTTGCCCATTAAATTTTCACTTTATTTTTAAGGGTCATCCCATAAAATTGATCAAAAAAATATGATTTTCACTGTTACCCCTTAGGATTTGGGCAAAATTTTGTATACAAACTAAGATATACATAACTAAATCTCTGTTTAAATTTTGGCTACTACAGAATTATAAATAATGTTTATTGAATTTAAAAATAAATGAGGAGTTTCTTCAATTTTTATAAAATTTTAAGCAAATGTCACTAAGACTAATATATATAAAAAATGGAATTCCAAGTTAATGATTTCAAAGTAAAATTATATTTAATTAATTCATTGTCTCTGCCAAACCTCTCCACAATCATGTCTATCCACCCTCATCATTTAGAATCTCTCTTATATGGACTATCTCTCAACCTCCCCAAATGTGAGATTTGCTTCCTAAATCCCACTTCTATCCCCTTAGACATGGTATATCACGTCATCAACAGAGACAAGATAACACATCTTGGATCACCTATAAGGGGTGAAAAGGCCATCGAAACATTTTTAAATGGTCCCTTAACAATTTATCCAAATTAAACACATTATGTAATTACCTCCTAGCCCATCAATCTTTTTTTTAAATAAAAAATTATTTCAATATACCTAAAATCCTTTACGCCCTGAGATCCTCTCCGATCTTTAAATGCCGTGACTTGCTCATTTCCCATGAACCTAAATTAAGGGTATACTTGAAAATATATAAAACCTAAAATTTTCCAATTCATCCTGGCATGAGGCCACCCTTTCCAGTAAGTCTGGTGGTATTGGTATCTGACCCCCTATACAACTTTCCCTCTCAGCCTTTATTTCATCTTGTCTTGCTGCTCAATCTATCATCGATAATGGATTCACTCCTTTAGATACTGACCTCTTGCAGGCCTTCACCTTTTGGGACAGCAACTGCCCACCCACTCTTTCTTGTCCCACTTACAGCATTCAAAAAGACTGGGATGCTCCTCTGATCGCCCGTTCTGTTGAATACCTAATTTCAAATAGGCCCTTTGAGGACAATCCCAATAATTTAGTATTATATTCAAGCTCAGGTTACGAATGGCTGGAAGCCATCCCCAGTTCCAATCTTGGCCTCCTCTTGACTGGTGAACAGCTACGCATTTCCATAGCCCTCCATCTTGGCTGTAATGCAGTGGTTCTCTCCATTTGCATCGACTGCGGTTATCCCATCGAATTGAAAGCTTACCATCCCTTGCACTGTAAGTTCTCCCATGAATGACAGCCGCGTCATAAATCTATTAACAACATTCTCCTAGCTGCTCTTAAAAAAGTTAATATTCCATCCACCCTCGAACCAGTGGTATACTATACTGGTTAAAGCATTCATAGAATAAGGCACTTAACATCCCATAGATAATTAGTGCTACCAATTGTTTAGCCAACTTACATATTTTAAAAAGTAAAATAAAAATGACCATGAAAAAATTATTAATATCTAATCATCATTATCTTAGGAGGTATCCCACCGCAGAAAAAGAGGGGGTTATTTTCAAAAATGGATTATTAAAATTTAAAGTGATTTATAGATGTAGGAAAAAGTAAAAAAATAAAAAGTTCAATAATTTCAAATAGCTGAATCATTTTGAATATTCATGAATCGTTTGAAATATATAAAAATAATCTAGAATATTTACGAATAATTCCAATATTTATGAATAATTTCTAATAATACAAATAATTTGAAGTTATACTAATAATTCGATCAAATAATAGATATAAAATTATTAGACAGCTAATATATCTTCCTTATTCATATTAAATTTTAATTTTTGAATCGAATAATTTTATTATTTGTATTTTAATAATAAAATACGATTCCACAAAAAGTGATTTTCAAAAAAATGTTTTTAATATTGAAAATAAGAAAAACAATTATGTTTTTAATATTTATGTTTTTATAAATATTTTATACATTATTTTTTTATTGCTATTCAAATTTTTTATAATTTAAAAGAATAAAGTGAAATAAAGAAATTTTAATAAAATAAAATAAATGTAAAATTTTATAATTTTTTTAAAAATTATTGAGCCCTGAAACCTACATTTAAAAAAGGCTTTCGTGGTTCAGGGTTCTGGTTCAATAAAATATCAGGGTTCGGGTTCACAGCCCTGGTTATAGGTACATATTTTTTATAAATATATTTGGAATTTATAATTATATTCCATTTATCTACATAATAGTCAACCTTTTTTTAATATATCAAAAACAAAAATTTGTTAGGTATTTTTTCCCCCCAAAATGGTTAATATTATTATTCATTATTTTTCAAATTATATTATAATACTTATTTTATTTTTTAAAATCACAAAAATTTAAAAAATAAATCAAGAACCTTTTGAATCAAAAATAACTCGCTAATATTTATTTTTTTTAAATGAAAATGTCGATCTTGATTTTAGATCCTTTACCGAGGGCGATTTAAAAAATTTTAAAATCTGATTTAACCGAAATGTATGCTAGTATGTGTAGAGTATACCCTATAAATTTCAGCTATAGATATTTTAGTATTTTTTAATTTATATGAAAAATCCATATAAAAATTAATATAAATTAGAAATAGTTCTAAAGTTCATAAAAATTGTTTGAAATTTACAGTTTGGGTACTCTATACGCTGATATACAATTCCTGTAGAATCAGATTTTTAAAATCCAAAAATCGCCCTTAGTAAATGATTTAAAATTGAGAGATTCCTAATCCCCATACGACAAAAATATGAATGAAAAATTTTTATTTAAAAAAAAATTCACAAGTTTTTTAAATTTTATTTTTGAAAAAAAAACTATGAACATTTTTATGAGAATCGACGAAATCAAACCGGTTTAAAGATATAAATCTTAAAAATAAATATATATATATTATTTTATATTCAAAGATATTGCTGATAAAAAAGATGCCTTATTTAGACAGCGCGAATTGATTGAACAGAGAATCAATCTGAAAGATAAATATGACAATATTCTTGGTGTCGACACAGAAACATTTGAAATCAACGAAAATTACAACGAAGAAACTGAAAAGACTTGGAGAAGTTTAATAAAAAAAATTAAATAATACTTCTTCAATTTAAAAAAATATACGGTCACAAAATTTTTGCAGGATTAAGTATATACAAGACATGGGCAGTAATTAAATTAGGGCTGACCAATAAAATTTAATTTGATCAAAATGGCGATAATCATTCTTTTTTTTTCTAACCTTCTTTCCTTCCTTCCTTCCTTCCTTCCTTCTTTCTTTCTTTTTTCATTCTTTCAACCGTAGTAGTGTTAAATATAAATATTTCTTTATAATAAAAAAAGAATCAGCTGGTAAAATTAAAAATAATATTTCAATAATAATATATTAAAATTCACAAACTGTCCTCGATATTTTATCAAAATTTCCTAAGTGTTGAGTTCCAAGCCCGGTGCACAGATTCCACTAATGGGAGGGTAGGGAAGGGATGTAAAAGGGTCGATGGTTCGCGAATTCCGGGATTGGGAACAAGGGGACTCGGTTTCGTCGGAATTTTGATTAATCGTCACTTATCTAAAATTGAAAGGAAAGAACAAATAATTTCAAAGGAGTTCGATTTCAGTTAAATTAAGTTAATAAACAATGTTCTAAAATAATTCATAGGTTTAATCCTAATCCTTTTAATTTAGTTACAAAATAATTAGTTATGAAATAATTATTTCCACGACTCTATTTCAAGCAATACTAGACTGGTAACCCACCACTGGAGATTTAAATTTAAGCTAATTTAAATGTAATGGGTTACACCGCACCACTGTATAAGAGCGGGTTTAAGTTCTTTTTTTTAGTGTGACGGTTTACACCATACCACTATATAAGAGGAGATTTTAGACTAGGCTATTGTTTTTTTAAGCGACAGTGTCTGGTACTCATCATCGTGAGATCACCCGGGATACGAGTGGCAGGTTTCGTAAGAAGGTCCGTGAAGTTCTTGGGAACAGGGGGCTACATTTTTTCTCAAAGCGTCGAGACCTATGGTACCTTCTTCTTCCTCACTTTTGGGTTCCCTTCGTTGTCGGATATCGCGACGGTGATATCGTTGGGTTTTGATTGTCGTTTTTACATGGTCGTCTGCTTTTTATAGATTGACTTGAGTTACTGGGTTCATGACTAGAGCTTTTCTACTAGGATATTTAAGGCATCTATAATCTCGTTCTAGATATAAGAGTGCGGAGGTTTTTAGTAGGGTTAAAGTGGGTTAGTTAAGCTTGAATTTCGGTTCTCGGGCACTCCATTTATTGGATTTTTGGAAGTGCCATATATTATGGCGAATATAAGAGCATGTAAATATGAGTTATTCTATGTTGTCACGGTTATTATTAGAGTAATGGCTTATGAATTGGAACACCTTATCGATGACAATCTTTTGAGGGTATTTCATATAAATGAAAATGGTTTCTAATGTGCTCAGAATGACCAGTGACGCAGTGCTGTTCAGACTGTAGATTTTGGGCCACTTTGAATATGAATCGATTATTAGCCAGTGTTGTTTATGCAGGAGTCTAACCAAGTCTAAGAGTACTATTTCCACTACTTTATGGGTACTGGTCAGGTGTTGAATGATATCCTTGGCGTATTTTCTTTGAATTGTTAACATTTTATAAAGATTTCGTTTGCCATCATGTCCTTGTTTAAATCTGGCCACCAAACATATTTTTATGACGTTTCTTTCATACCCATTATTTTGGGATGCACACGTTAAATTTCTTATAATATTAAAGGTCGTAACCGTTGGGGAATAATTAATCTGGTTACGGTATTTCCGTATATTTACTCCTTTCGCATTTTCCAATATCTTTGGAATTTTTGTGTGACTTCAATGGTCATTCCCGTATGTAATGTTTTACTTGGGTTGATTCGGGAGCCTTGCATGGTTAAAGATGTATTTTATCTATATCTCTGTTAAATGGTAACGAGTTTATTTGGGTTTGGATTATTTGGTTGACTTTAGCTTCTTTTACGATCTATTGGAATCACTTCGTGTAATGGTAATCGTGGCAGAGCATCGGCAGTTGATGTTGAAATTGAAACTTGCTAAAATATTCCTCCATCGTTGTAGCCTATCGGTTCTTCAAAAATTGCTAGTAATGGTTTATGATCGGTGCTTGGTGTGAAACTATTTCCTAGTAAAAATTACTTGAACCTTTTTACTGCAAAGACAATGGTTACAACTTTTTTTCTATGTTTGGATAGTTTATTTCGACTTTGGATAAAGTTCGCGATGCATAAGCAAACGGTCTCTCGATTTCATTACCCCATCTAGGTTATGTACGATGTCGATGCTAAACGCTAATGCATCGCAGACCCACTTATTGTCCCAATCAAATTTTAATTCAAGATATAACAGGTCATATTAAGGGTTTGGCTATGGTTGATATTTTAGGGATAAATTTTGCATAGTATGCGACCAAAACCTATATACAAAATATAATAAAATGGGGTAAGATATTATATTTTTATTTGTGAAAAAAAGAATAATTATTTAAAATACACAAATGATTTTTATTCAAAGATATTATTATTTTAATCATGATTTTTAGATCGCAATTTATATCAATTTTAATTTATCATCCTAATTTTAATAAGACCGATGGTTTCAATTTTAAGGCCCGACTGTTCACACCTGATTCCCTGGTTTTAATCCTAGTGAATATTTGATTTATCATTTTATTAGACTAAATTAAAATACAGTAAAATGTTCTCAAATATAGGGTCGAAAAGTTGAATAATTTTATTTGTTGATGGCTTAATTTGAACCTATAATATGAGTTTAGAACATCTCAATTCTTAAAACTATAAAAACATTGAATACTAAAAAAAATTATGGGACATGGGTATCCTTAATTCTTTTATTTTCTTCGCGAAAATTTATAATTTAATTTTAACAATAGTTGAACATAGAGACAATGTTAAGAAATATTATCAAGAATTAGCGAAAAATAAATCCAATAAATCAACTACTCACCTAGAGTCAGATCCTTTACCGTTGATCTTAGAAAATTTTCAAGATATGGATGTGGCCGAAGATGAAAATATATCAAGTGATGAAATATATTGTTATTTTTACTTATTTAAGTTTAAAAAAAAATTGATTATAGCTCAGGTTAATAAAAAAGTGAGATGGGAACATGATTTACAAGCAAAAGCCACGTCAATAGATCTCAAAGTACTATAAGTGTTTATTAAAAAAAAGGATTAATTGAAGAATTTATATTACTGCTTTTATTCACCTAAGTTTTTCTTTATCACAAATTTGGTTAGAACATTTCCATTAAATTTTTATGCCTTATTATAAATTACACTCAGTTCACAAACTTGGATGTTTCGTTAAATCAAACTACTATTACGACTAAAAAATCAATTCTCAAAATCCCATCTGAAGATATTGGAGTAATTTATAAAAATTGAAATTTAATTGTTCCTTTATTATATAGTTTTCTGAAACAGATAAAAAATTTACAAGTCAAATTGTTGAAACAAATGTAAGCTCACTTATTTAAATAAATAATTTTACCATTTTGCAGGCCACGAGTTTTATATAAGTTTTTATATTTTTCTGGCCTTATCTGGGTTTTTAAAATTTGAATTTTATGGCCTGGCTTGGGCTTATAAATTTTTCGACCATACATGACTCGGGATTCAAAAAATTGTGGCAAGGACCCTAGCTGAGTTTAGCTTAAACCGGGACGATAGGTTTTTACTATATACATATCAGTAGGCTGAGTATGGTTTCAAATTTATTTTCTTTGGTCGGCCAGCTGGCCCGGGTCTTTGTTTCTTCAGCCAGACTGGGATTTTCAAAGTTTTGATGATCTTACAGCCCCTCTCATTAAAATCATTATAGTTGCATTTTGTATAAAATTTTTTCGAAGAGAAATAGAAAATATGAACTCAAATGAATGTTAAATGATTGTATTATAGGATTTTCCAATAGTTATGATTTAATTTTTTCCTATATAGACCCGTCCTTAGTTTTTTAAATAAATTTTTTTAGCCTCAACCCAAGTGAGATTTATAATTTATTTTTAAGCCTCGATTTTTAAAATTAAACTGTTACGGGCAGGATATACAAGACGTGCTCGGGCCTGGACCTCTGATGCATAGGCCTAATATTATTAATATTAAACTGCCTGAGGACCAAAAATAACGCGACCATTATTTGTCATTGATTTGCCTCCTACATAATCAACATTTAAAATATAGTTTTATTTATATAAAATATTTTCTTTTATCCATTGGTTTCTTAAAATCCAATTTTAAAATTTAATATAAAAAAATGAATAATATTTTTATAATTATAATGCGGTAAAATATGATTTGTTGTGAAACATTGACATATATTTGTAGGAATTTTATGAGAAATTTGTTACAAATAAATGTTTTACAATAAATAATATTATTACTATATATTATCTTTAATTTAAGAATCATCTGTATAGTTATGTATGCCTATTAATTTTTTTATTAGACATATCTGTACAACTTGAATTAACAAAAAAAGTTTATAATTTAATTATATACTATAAAAACTGCAAGAATGCATCATTTATTCTTTAATCAAAATATGTCGAAAAAGTCATTTTTTAGTTAGAATAAAGCTATCTTAAAGCATTCCATGTTAATATTATATTAATTCTATATAAATTTTTATATCAAATAGCTTAAATCTATTATCCAGAATTCATCACCCAATATAGTTAAGGATGTCGTTGAAAAAAATAATTTCATTCAAAATTATCCAAACCCAGTTCAAAATTCTCCTACCAAAAAACCTAAGATGTCTTTATGGAAAGAATCTAGACATCGAAAGCCTTTGTAGATTTTCTTATTTAACATTTTATGTTTATAATTAATGTAAATATCATTGATATTTTATCGCAACAATTTTTTTTGTCATATCTACCAAAATATTTGGGGTATTATTTAAAACAAAAATAAAATAAATATGCGAATTAGTTTAATATTATAAATTTTTATGATAATTTACAAATATTTAAGAAATTTTAAGCAAGCTCTTGCCTTAGGGGCTCACGAATACTGCAAATAGTGTAAATTTGAAAATAATATTTATAAATTAAATTTAATCATATATATTTAAATTGTCATTTAGTTTTTTTCTGGGCTAGGGAATAATTTTTTAAAAACGCAATCTTGTTTAAAAACATCGCCTTTATCAAAGTGTGTGTTTTTTAAATATCTAAATAAGGATCGATTGTTATGTGATTGATATATTTTTTTGCACCTTTTTTATATTCGCTCAGTCCAACTACAAACTGCCTAAGCAAAATTTAGAAAATGTTTTTTTTGCATATGGGTTTATTGATATTTTCCATTATATCTTGATTTTTAGCTTAATACCATTTTTTGGCCTCAGGTTCAGTGCCAGGTCTGAAGGTCTCGGACATAAATATAAAATTTAGGTAATTGTATATTGAGCCTCAAGTGTGGTATATATTATTTTTTACTTTACTATAATAAAATGAATGGCATAAAAATTTATATTTTAAAAAACTACCAATCCCAACCGATATTAAAAAAGTAAAGATGAAAAAATTACAAGGTTTTTTTTTACCGGTGCAAATGGATGCTGCAAATTTAAATAATAGAATAACAAATACAACTTATTTCACCAGAAGTTAAATAATATATATTAATTTTTTGTTCCTTTATGATAAATCGAAATTTAATTGATATGAACAGGAAATCTCAATATGGAATGTTGCACGTACAAGTACGTGCGGCTTGCCCACAAACGTGTAAAGGGCTCCTCATATTTGTACTTTTCACCCAAATTGAATTTGTTCCAATCAGATCGAAATGTGAAAAACCTAGCGTAGCTCTGTTGAACTTTCAACATCAGAGCGCAAAAGCACTATATCACGTATCACGTAAAATTACAAATTATTTGGTCAGTTTTTTAATATTGATTACTTTAGGCAGTTTTAAAATGTTGATAAGTTATTAATTAGTTTTCAAGTTTTTTTTTATTGATTTGAGAATTATTAAATGAGCAGTTCATTCCTATATGATTTCAAATTATTAAATGAGTCGTTCATTCCTATATGATTTAATTTATAAATAACCTTATTCAGTGGCCCCTACACTTTTTAAGCGAATGAAGCAGAATACCCCTATGAAAAGTACCCCCCCCCCCCTTCGAAAAAATTATAATTATGACACCCATAAATTTCAAAAATAATTTTTATTGCATCAATTTTTAATATATAATATAAATAAAATGCAAAAAATATAACTTTATAATTATTATTTTTAAATTAATAATTCAGATAAATTAGGGGAAGAGAAAGCGAAAGAATTTATAATTTCATCATAATTGTTTAAATAAAAAATTTTCCATTGATAATATGGTTAAATTATTGAGAAAAGTATCTTTCATGGTACTGCGCAGTCTTGTTTTAATTAATTTAATTTTACTCATGACTCTTTCGGCAGTACATGAGGTTGTGGGAATGTTATATAAAATTCTTAAATTATTGAAAGCAGAAAAATTTAAAAGTAAACGATAAGGTAAAATAAATGAATAGTTTTTCCAATCTGAATCGTAAGTCCCTGAATTATAATCATCATCAGAAGAAGCTAAATAATGTATTGGTGAAAATATTTTAAATAAATAAATTTACAATTCTCAGAATCTGACAAATCTTCTTCTTGAACCTCTAGGTCATGAGTAATAATTACATTCCCCATTTTGGCCATCTTTTAAATATTTCTAAACTTCAACATTTCTTCGAAAATTTGACTTGAATTTAAATTGTAAAATTCACAGATATCCTCAATATCTTCTTTAATAATTGATTTTTCTGCCATTCCCTATGACGTAAAAAATGATGTTTGATGTAAAAATTTCATTGAATCATCATTAAATCTTTCGTTAAACTGCATAATAATTAAATCGAGTGCAGCATAAAACACCTATTTTAAAGCTAAAAAAAATTTCTATATTTAATGATGAAAGTATATATACCTCTCCTTTTTGGATTGTAATGTTTGAAGTCTAGCAAAATCAAAAGGTAGATTTCTCTAATCTTGCGCCTTTGAAAAAACATCCAAAAATTCATGTCCTTGTTATCAACAATATTTTATCCAAAACACAAAGTGATAAGATAAAATCAAATTTTTCTATTCTAAAGACTATAGCACTAGCCATAGTGGAAGTGGCAGGATCTTCAGAATCCTTTAAATTTGTTAAAGCTGCCCTCAAGGCATCATAAAGTTGAAAAAAATTTACAATAGCTTTATATGACGATAGCCAGCTTCTAAATAAAAAAAACATTTAAATAAATAAGGAACTATTACCGAGTGGTATTCTTGACGCGTAGAAATCGTTGCGATTTTTTCAGATCATTACGCTGAAGTTTTTTGAGTACCTCATATCTTTTTACACCATTAAAATAGACATAAATCTCATCTAGTATTCCTAGAACATTTCGAAGTTTTTTAATTGATTGGCATAATTGAACAATGATTAAATTTAATCGGACAATAACACCAAATAAAAGCTGCCTTTGGCGCCTCTGCCCTAATCAAGGCTTGCAGACCATTGATTCTTCCACTCATGTTTGAGGCGCCATCATAACTTTGCCCAACTAGATATTCAAGGGGTAAATTCATCGAGCCAAGTTTGCATATTATATTATGCTTTATATCGAGACCTGTGGTATTTCCCGTACAATATATGTCAATCAGTCTTTCAACAGGCTTCAGCGTCTCACTATTTTCAACATATCTTATTATCAAAGCTATTGCTTCTGATTTCGAAACATCGTATGTGCCATCAACTATGATTGAAAAGCACCTGTTAAATGTAATCTCATTTTGAATTTTTTTTATAACCATATTTTTCATGGTTTCAATGAGAATGTTTATGTTATATGATATAGGTTTGAATATAATTTCGTTTTTAATCCCTTATTTTTTTTATCCTTTTTTCTTTCTTCATTTTGCTCTATATACATTTTTAGTATAGGTTCAGAATCTGCAATAAGCTTAATAAGGGCCATCATATTGCCTTCTTGTTGCCTGTTCCCCCAGAAGGCTTGGTTACGAGATATTAAATAAAATTTACTAAACATAGACCAAAATTTCCCTCAATATATGAAATTAAATATTAAGTGATGGGGGGGGGGGGTCTTATTATTACATTTATAAACCAGAAATCACATGATCATGATGGATGTAAAAAAATTTTTTTTTTAAATTTAAAAAAAATTAAAATAAAAAAATTTAAAAAAAAAAGGTACCCTTACTCAAATTTACTAAAGCAGTTGCTTCGGACCCCCCCCCCCCCTCCCCCTCCCGCATTGTAGGGGCTCCTGACCTTATTTCGGAGAAGTTAATATTTATATTTCCAGACTATTAGGACCACATAAAACTAGTTCAAGTAGGCTAATCAAATAATTGCGTAAGTCACAATATTTTGTAAAAAGAGAGTCAAACCTTTCTGCTTTGTTTTGGCGAAATCCCGAGGGTCATGTAATAATTGGCCAAATCCTAATTTAGTCACGAATTTAAATCACCAAAATCGAGGTTCATAGCAACGTATACTACAAGGTATTACCAGATACTATAATTATTGATTTCGTTATTGCACACTAAAATATGGCCCATTTTCCAGAGATAATTACCTGCCTTTATATTTCAATCAAAAACCTTTTCAACTATCATTTTAAATTCAAATTGTACAAAGTTAATGTTCTTTGAGTATAATTTTTAATTATAAATTGGGAATTTAATTATTTTCTTACTCTTTTTATCATCAAAATCTATTTTTTTTTAAATTTGTTTTATATATCATTGCCATCAGCTGTTCAATATGAAACCTATCAATAACTTTATTTTGGATAAACTAGTTAAAATGTTATTTTTATCAATTCGAAAAAACATTATTTATAGTTATAAAAAATTATATTCATGTGCAGCTGTTAATAAAGCACAACTTATATATTTAAATCCACATTCAAGGTATTTTATATAAAAATTTGATAATTATATAAAGAAAGGAATTATAAATTTTAAAAGAATCTAACAAAATAAGGTGTATATTATGTTTTTTTAATTAAATATAGCATAAATACGTATTTAATTATAGCATAAATACGTATTTAATTATAGCATAAATACGTATTTAATTATAGCATAAATACTTATTTAATTATAGCATAATTATGTATTTAATTATAGCAAAAATACTGATTTATAGACCTTTATTTATTAATAGATATACCAATCAAATATTAATTAATAATTTGGATATTTTTTTATTACCCTTAACAATGTCAATGCTTAATGCTCAGGGTATAATATATAGCTATATTTTATTATTATTAGTCAGTGTTCATGACAGGTATAGGTTGTAAATTATCTAAGCTTAGTGGAATATAACTAACAAAAATATCTATAGCTAGATATCTATTTATTTTTCATTGGCTTACTAGAAAGTCTATAACTTAGCTATTCAGGTGATATCATATTTGCCAAAAATTTGGATGAATTTTTTCATTAATTTTTTACTATGTATCTTATAAAAATATAGAAGGTGCTATTGTTAAGAAATTGGCTTATTAACAGATCTGTATTTTACTTTTGTTTGGATCACCACTGTCACATTTGGTTATAATATATGTAGATCTATGCACCAACAGCTTGTGATATTTCTTTTTAAACAATCGACTGGTGGTAGTGTACTGATTTTGACACTGCTGTCAAATTTTTTCTAACTTAAATTTTTTAGTTAAAATTATAAGTTTATTGGAAATACCTTTAAAATAAAATTAAATTAAAACTATAATTTAATGATTTTATTAAGTTATAATTATCATATCTTGTTACAATTCAAATGTTTTATAGCAAATAATATAAATTTTAAAAATTTAAAATGTATATTATTTTT